CCCCCCCCCCCCCCGCCGCGCACCATGAAAGCGGCGAAAGTCATCCTAGGATGCTCAAAGCGCACAAGTAACGCAGCCGCCAAGGCAGAACTGGGGATCCAATCCTCATGATCGGGACGAGACGCAAGGAAGCTGACATGGCAGTATCGCATGTGCGACATGGGAGAGGAGAGGTTGCCGAGAAAGGCCTGGGAGGCGAAGTGGGAAAACAAGAAGAGGGGTAGACAACCCACGGAGTGGGTCAAGATTATAGGTGACGTCGGAAAGGGTTCGAAATAGACTAGAATTTTTTCGGCCCGAAACATTCCGAGAACGGCCCAGTCGCAGGCTATTGCAGTGGTCCCCAGCGGTGCCGGTTCGCAAAAGAAGATTTGCCTCTTTCATAAAATCACCAAACTTCAAAAAGACCGCCGATGATGCAGGAAGAAGATATCCGTTTTCTCGGTGTGTACCTCACACAACACATAGATGCCTCCCACAAAGCAGGATAGATAGATAGATGGAGAGATATCGTACCAGTAAGTGGTAAAAACAGCAACAGCATCCCCGGCTAGGCCGGTTCTGGCTACGAATAAACAGGGAAAAAGTTGAGGATGGACGCGCTGTTCACCGTGCGTGTTGAAGAGTACTGGCACATAATTCGGGAAGAAAGGAGACATGATCAATGTATACAGCAGTACTGTATGTAGTAGTAGATAGATGATCCGTTCCTTCGTGTCTAGAAAAAGTAGCTGGCTATAATCTAATTGATATAGATCTCGGCCTCTCCCTGCATAGTCTACAGCGCACGTCTCGCGCATCATTGATGCATTTTATTTAGGTACAGTAGATCGAAGTCATGCAGCAGAAATACCAAGAACGAACGAACGGCAGACAGACCTGCTGAGGCTACTCTTTAGCTTCAACTTCACAAACAAAGAAGAGTCCTTGATGCGGTGTTCTTGCCGTGAAACCGCAGAAGATTTTATCGGGAAGAATGACCCATCCTGTTGGCTCTCTTTGCAAATAATCTCCACCCCGTTGCTTCCGTCGGGCGGTCGTTCGGTCGGTCGAGCTGGGTTGGGTTTGGTTGGGTTGCGTTGGGTTGGGTCACGTTGGGTTGGGTAGGGTGGGGTAGGGTGACATTGGTCGCTCGGTTGGTCGGGGGGTGTTTTGGGGTCGGGTTGGGTTGGGGTGGGCAAAGGGTGAGTTGGGTAGGTCGGTCGATAGATCGGTCAGTCGGTCAGTCGGTCGGTCGGTCGGTGCCGCTGTCGACTGCTCTGCGCCGGAGATTTTTCGTGTGTCTAGTTGCGGTGGGTGGTGGTGTGCTGGCTTGCTTTGATGC